AAACGTCAAAAAGACATCTAAATGGAAGGAAAAACATATAAAAAGAATCTAGAAAAGCATCTACCATTTAAACGTCAAAAAGACATCTAAATGGGAGGAAAAACATATGAAAAGCGTCTAGAAATGCATCAACCATTTAAACGTCGAAAAGACATATAAATGGAAGGAAAAACATATGAAAAGAATTTAGAAAAGTATCTACCGTTTAAACGTCAAAAAGACATTTAAATGGAAGGAAAAACATCTAAATGTGGATGTAAAACATCCGAAGTGGCAACACTGCACGTCATAGTAAAGCGCGCGCTTTGCAAGAGCGCGCTTTTGCGATGTGAACAACTTGGATGTAGAGAAACCGCGAGAAACTACAACCTGCACACCCTAGAATTTATTGGGAATGTCTCCTGTGACGTCAATGTGACGTCAGGGGTACGTAAAAAATATTGTACCGAATTGTAAATTCAAGACTGAAATGGCACTTGGAATCGGAGCAGATCTTGGTGCCAGAGCAGGCTGGGTTTAGGGAATGTCACAGCATAGAAGACCAAGTCACCTACCTGTCACGGGCTGTGGAGGATGCCTTCCGAGAGGAGAAGGGGGTCCTGGCGGTGTTGGTTGACTTCAGGCAAGCTTTTGGCAAAGTCTGGAGGGATGGTCTCATTGCAAAGCTGGAGAGAAGTGGAATCCAAGGAAACATGCTAAAATGGATCCAATCCTTCTTACACAGCAGGAGAACTAGAGTCAGTCTTGATGGCCAGCAGAGTAGAAAAGTGTTACTTCGGCAAGGAGTACCACAGGGAGGAGTTGTCTCTCCGGCTCTCTTTCTTGTGTATATAAATGATCTGGTGAGGGACCTCCCTACGGGAGTAAAAGCTGCCCTGTATGCAGATGATCTGGCACTTTGGTGTACCGATGAACACACCACAGTGGCAAATATGGGAATGCAGCGAGCAGCAGATCTCTTGATGACATGGGCAGAAAAATGGCATGTTGCCATCAACACAGACAAAACATCCACAGCGCTTTTCTCTCTTTCCCCCAGGGACAGGGCTGCTAGTATTCACCTAGGAACATCCTTGCTAAAGGAAGAGGGCTTCCCCACTTGTCTTGGAGTGACATTTGATAAAGGGTTCACATGGAGCAAACATATAGAAAATGTAGAAGGGAAGGCTAGGAGACGACTAGGCCTATTTAGAAAACTGGCAGGTACAGGATGGCGAGCGAATGGAAAAACCCTAAAGAAAGTTTATAATGGAGCGATAAGACCCCACTTGGAGTTTGGTGCAACAGCATGGTCAACAGCTGCTAATTCCCATCTACAGTCGTTGGACGGAGTGAAAAGTCGTGCTCTTAGACTCATCACAGGATCCATGAAAACTGCACCAATCCTGAAGATGCAGAAAATAACTGCAATGCAGACACTGTCCTATAGAAGAGACGCTGAAACTATGATCCAGATGGAGAGGTTTAATAGTATGCAGTCACGCCCAATGAATAAAAGGTTAGATGATCTGGCATTAGGGCGTCTCAAACGTAGCAGCTTTGTCCATCGGGGGAAAAGACTTAGAAGACAGTATCAGGCTGATCTACCTATTAGAACAACACCGCTGAAACCTACCCTATACCCTGTACCTTGGGAGCGGGTCAGTGATACAATGCAGATGATGACTTCGGTCAGTGGATTCACAGCTGGAGATGAGTCCAGTCATCTTCAAAAGCGAGCGGCTGCTCTTGGCATGATTCATGAAAACTGTCCCGAGCGGTCATGGATGCATGTTTGCACAGATGGATCAGCAACAAGTGCGGTTAAAAATGGGGGTGCTGGAGTCTTTGTTACATACCCAGGCAACCACCGCCACACAAAGTGGATACCCACTGGTAAATCCTGTTCCAACTACACAGCAGAGATTGTAGCACTAGAGCAGGCTGCCGAAATGTTACACAACACCAGTTCTGACTGCCACCGGGTGGTTATATTCACAGATGCGCTTTCAGTGCTTCAAGCCCTCAAGAGTGGCAAACTCCCTCACTTGAGATCTGAACTTGGCAAGGTGGCTGCCCAAAAGTGTACTGTACTCCGGTGGGTGCCATCCCACTGTGGTATACCAGGAAACGAAACCGCAGATAAACTTGCTAAAAAAGGGGCAGAATGTGACCAGGAAGAGAATGCAGTAACATACTATGAGAAGAAAAGGGCCATCCAGGCTATTAGAAGTAAAAAGAGTCTGGCCAGAGATGACTACCACTTACTTGACCGGCATGGGCAGGTCATTTTCCTACGTCTCAGGACAGGACATGACAAACTTAACCAGCATATGCACAGGCTTCGTCTGGGTGGTTCACCCTTTTGCCCTTGTGGGCTGTGTGTGCAGACTACAGAACATGTCCTGCAAGACTGTCCCTTGTTCAGCCCATTAAGAAAGGAATACTGGCCCAGTGAGTCATCACTGTACACAAAGTTGTATGGGACTAAAAATGAACTCATAAAAACAGTCAAGTTTATCACAAGAACCTGTCTGTCGGTGTAAATCAGAAAGCGAACACAAGAAGAAGAAGAAGTCAATGTCCATGCGCAAAGCCTGGGACAGTTCAAGCATGTCCTCAAAGTTTCAGTTTAACCAGAAATGTACAGCCAACACGGTTTCTGTTTAACCAGATGAATACAAACAGAAGCTACAAGAAAGATAAATGTACTGGAGAGCCTTGATCAGTGAAAGACACCAGTGATTTAATGTAGCACACAAAATGGACAAGGAACATACATGTCAATGTGCTAACACACAACTCACTACCTTCAAGAGAATTCTCTCATACCTAGCATGAAGACCGTGGTTCTTTTCATTCATGAACTCCACACGGTTTCTTCCCTTTGCACGGCGGTACAGGTTCTTGATCCTGTTCTTCCGCTGTTACTTGATTAATTCCGGCAACTGGGACCGCGGTCCGATTTACAAATTACAAACTTAAGCTTTAAATTGAAATCTAAGGGACACAAACTCTATGGTGTGTGCTTGTGTGAGTGTGTGTGTGTGTGTGTGTGTACGTGTGTGTGCGTGTGTGTGTGGACTGTACTTCAATTTCACATAGCCATTTATATATCCATATATTACTCACAACAATGATATTATTTAACGAAATTTACTACTACTACTACTACTTACTACTACTACTACATCTACTACTACTACCACCATTACTACTACTACTACTACTACTACTACTACTACTACTACTACTACTACTACTACTACTACTACTACTACTACTACTACTACTACTACTACTACTACTACTACTACTACTACTACTACTACTACTACTACTACTACTACTACTACTACTACTACTACTACTACTACTGCTGCTGCTGCTCCTACTACTTTTTCAAGATATCAAATGACATAAACGAATGGTATATCATATATATATATAGATGTCTGCTGTATTCGAAACCTCAGAAGGGAAATAAGTGTAGTCTCGAGACCAGGCGCAATTTTTTGTTATTATAAAGCCCCATCCCAGCCTTAGTTGGGAGCCCTAATATAACCAAACTATTGAACGAGGTTTCTGGGACCTTTCTCCTGGTTGTACTCATCCGCATGGTGGCACTTTATGTCGCCTGGTGTTTATTGCTTAGTGGGGTTGAATCTCATCGAAGAAGGTGAAGGAGCCAAAACCATCAACGATCGGGTAACCTACTGGCTTGCCGGTAGACTTCGTCACTAATCGGGACAGTATTTAGGTTTGTAAAGTTGCTCAGCCTGCAATGGGTACCAGGCAATGTTCTGGGAAGTAAGGGCGATAGAGACTCTGCGTTCACCAGTTGTCACGGGAGTAAAATTAGCCATGTGAATCTTCCTAGTCAGGTCTGACGAAATTTGTTTCGGAGCAGTGGGGAATGTGGGTTTTTTTTTTTTTTTTTTTTTGTCTTTTTAAAAGGTACCACAGCATACCAGAAGATACGCATATTTTTTTAAAACTTAAAATGCTTTGAAAATTCTTAAACACACACATACACACCATAAACACACAGACACACCACACACATATATATAATGTTGTCGATCCCTTGTCACTGGTGCAGACTGTCACATCCACAACTAGAGGCCAGCTTCATCAGATGGCACTGTCGAGTGTTTGGTTTGAACAACGGATCAACATCACGGCACAAGAGTAGTAACCGATAAGTGCTCCCTTCTACTTCTACCTCAGGACTGAATCCAAAGATTCTCAGCGCAGTGCACGAACTCCGTAGCACCTGGAAGGATACCGTAATATTTTGGGGTGGATTTTTAACTCCAAATTTGGTCAGGGCAGCGCTGTTAGACTACTCCTTTAGATTCAAACTACTAGTGCATTTTTTACGTAAGCAACAATACACACGGGCATCCGGTCCTACTAATCAAAGACCAAAGGAAATTACTAGAAGTCCATGTGAAAAAAATCCCAACCTTCACCGGGACTTGAACTGGGGACCTCTAGCACGCGAGGCGAACTTCACCATGCTTCGAGACCACTCAGCCCCCCCCCCCCCCTCGCCCCCCTCCTTTTTCAAGTTTGGATTCCTTCTGATTGGAACCCACGCTACGACTTTCAGATCCGCAGGCGAGTTTTTAACCGCTACACAACAGCGACTGTTGTGTGTAAAAAAAAAAAAAAGCTCTGTTTTTGTGTTCACATCTTTTTTTAGTCATTCAGTCATCTTCTTGTGAGATGCAATTTTTCGTTATTTTGAAGCCCCACCCTGGCTCTTGCCAGGGGCCGCAATATAGCTCCGCCATAAACATGACCTAATGGCTGAACGCGGTTTCTGAGACCTCTCCACGGGTTATTCTCATCCACATGGTGGCACTTTGTGTCATCGGGTGTTTATCGCTTGTGTGATGTCCCGGTGGAGTAAAAATCTACTCGACTACTTTGTGTTGACTCAAGCGCCAAGCTGCAGGAGGAAGTAAACGAACAAACGTATTGAAAAACCTCGAACTGACTTTTGAGTCATAGAGAACTAAGCCCTGTGAACAAGATGATGTTACATATGATTCCAATGATACTCCTCCATCCTTCACGCCAGCCAAGACGTATCTCTTACATACAAATAGTCATACTTTTACTTAGGTTAGGGAGTCGTGGAATCATTTGTAATGAAAAAAGGCGCCGCGACTAAGAACAGTTTGGGAAACACTGCGCCATGCTGATGCAGAAGAGTACAGACGATTGCGTATGTTGCCTGGTGACATCACCAATGGATGTCTTCATCTCCGGAAAGCAAACACGTTAGGGATTAGATGAGTTGTTTCCATGGTCTAGACCAGTGGATTTCAACCTTCCTAATGATGCGAATCTTTAATACAGTTCCTCATATTGTGGGGACCCCTAACCATACAATTGTTTTAGTTGCTACTTTATAACTTAAGTAAATATGTTTTTTCTGATGGTCTTAGACGACCCCTGTGGCGACCCCCAACCATACAGTTGTTTTAGTTGCTACTTTATAACGTTAGTGAATATGTGTTTTCCGAATATCTTAGACGACCCCTGTGGAATGGTAGTTCGAGACACAAAATGGTCGCGACCCACAAGTTGAGACCGGCTGGTCTGGAATACTGATTATTTAATGTTTATTAAATAATATATTTGCTTTTGGAAGGATGAGGCAAATCTGGTTATCCAACAGTTACTGCATAGGGACGAAACTCCGACTCTACAAGAGCATCATTTTACCATTTCTTCCTTGTGGAGCAGAATGCTGGGGAATGACCAACAAATGTTGCGCACAAACTATTTACCTTCCACCACACATGTCTACATATAATTATCAAAATTTTCTGACCCGATACTATCTCAAAACACTAAACTATTTCAAGTTACAAACCAAGAAATTCTAGACAGTATGATAACCAAGGGAAGATGGAAATGGCTTGGCCGCGTTATGAGAATGACTTCTGATATACCTGCCAAAACAGCTCTCACATGGACACCAGCTTCCGAAAAACAACATGGAGACGAACGATGGAAAGTGACCTGAGTGCGGCATCTTTGACATGGAAAACTGCACTGAAGATTGCGCAGGACAGGAAAGCATGGAAAGGCCTCTCTGAAGCCTCATGTGCCACTAGGCATAAAGAGAATTATTAATAAAATGATTTATTTATTGTTAAAGTCCTTACAGAATAAGGAGTGTTTATTTTTTATTTAATTTTTTGTAAATCCCAATATAAGCACCCAAGGCAATTACTAATAAACTAACACGCATTCATTAACGGGTGCCTGACCAGAATAGAGGCAATTAAATGGTTTTTAAAAAAATAGAATCACTAATGGCTTTGGGGGAGAACAAAACAAGTTCTACTAGACCAAGAAATGAAGAAAAAACGCTGGCTGTGGATAGGACACATGTTAGGAAAACCTGAGAACAATACAACTAAAATGTCTTAGCAATGGAGTCCACATTGGCGTAGAACTAAAGGAAGACACTTTTAAAAAAAAGTGGAGAATGGAGTTAGAGAGTTAAGTTAAAAAGATGGGGAAAGTCGCATGCGATAGTGAAGGATAGAACGACTTGGCGTGAGTTGGTTAAGGGTCTATGCACTATTTGGGGAGGGTGGGGGGTTAGACAGGCAGAAGAAGAAGATTAAGCAGGAAAAACCTCTTTCTACAACTGCAGAGGAATGATGCAGTGCCAAAAGACTAAGCATAAATGTTGATACTAATGGAAAGCGATTTTCATCTCTACATTTTTATTATGAAACTGGATTATTATTTCTTTCCATTCTTTATTAATTTGTTCACACCGCTCTACTTTAAAAAGGCTGAGAAATTTCATGACCAACGGCATAACTGACGTCAGGCTTCCTTCAGTGACACTTACTGGATCCACAAAACAAGGCCAGTATTTACAATACTAAAACAGTACTAAAACATCTGCCTTTACTTCCCCAGGACAGCCATTCTGGTTTCCATTTTAGGCTTAATCGACCTGCGACACCCCATACCATAATAAAAATCTACTCAGCCAGCAGTGGGTTTCGATCGCGGTACGTTGGAATCACGAGTCGTACTTGCAACGCCTGAGCCACGGAAATTTATGTTGTCACCCCTTCCCACCTTTTCTCTGTGTGTGTGTGTCTCTCTCTCTCTCTCTCTCTCTCTCTCTCTCTCTCTCTCTCTCTCTCTCTCTCTCTCTCTCTCTCTCTCTCTCTCTCTCTCTCTCTCTCTCTCTCTCTCTCACTAACACACACATACACACATATTCGTAAATCTGTTTTTAAAAAAATATTTTGGCCATTTTGCCACACCTCTCAGTGATGATACCAGGGACGGTCCGCACCACTGCCCCCCCCCCCCCCCGTTTCCGTCTTACCTATGCCTCTGACTTAATGGCCGTAGTCTCCATGTCGAGGCCACCTCAGTGTCCCGGTGTCCCTGAGAATTCAAATAGACAGGCGTTGGTTTAAGGCGGGCCTGCCAAAATTTCGCCGAAAACAGTACCATTTTTTTTTTTTTGGGTATGTACTAAAACACACAAAAAGATACAAAACTTTTATTTTTAATTAAATTACTATTTAAACGTTTTTAAACACACACACACACACACACACACACACACACGCATGGCTCATCTTATATTTGACCAGACGTGAAATTCTGTGTCGTTTACATCACTGCTGGGCCATTCTTTTAGTTTTCGCTCACTTAGTTTATTGCTGTTGTGGAGTCTTCCAGTTGGTACCGGTAATGTCTTCGAGCGATGATTTCATCTCATCAATGCATTTATTGTTGAAGTCTTAACACAAGAGCTGTTTTTAAGCTTAATTTTGTTAGGCAAAAAGAAAACACTCTCTGCAGCTGCAGAGGAATGAGATAATGCCAAAAGACTAAGCATAAATTGAGACAGCGATTTTCATCTAAATGTTTTTCAACTGGAATTTTGAACAATTTTTTTTTTTCGGCATTAGGTGGTTGATCACGCCCTATCAGTCACCTCAATTCTACCACTGACTTTTGAAAGCGAAAAAAAAAAAGCACACTTGACCATCACATCAAACGGTATATTTGCATCATGCTTTGTTTCACTACACAACCAGTCATTTTTTTTTTTTTTTAAATCTTGAACACTATCAACATTTTAAATGTTGATGTTAATTTATATTAAAAAACACCAAAACGTCGGATTCGGTTCTAAAAGTACAGATCAAACACTACAAAATGTATACGAAATTATTAACTTTGGTAGCCCAGGTTAGAACGCTGAGCTCTTTAGCGAAAGACCCAGGTTCGAATCCTTAGTAAGGATTATTTCTGTCTGGAGCAAAAAAAATCCTCTCCTGGATAGTGGAGGCGACAGCACAAGCCATGCGGCCGTAGATCCTCAGGCTCAAAGACCTTCCTGCCTATTTGTAAAATAAAGGCAGTAATTGGCATTGTGTGTGCGTGCGTGTGTGTGTGTGTGTGTGTGTGTGTGTGTGTGCAGCACAGGTTTAAGGATACCGTTCAGTGTATCAGAAAAATATTGCATAAATCTGTTGTATTACTTATTTCCGATCTAGTTTTCTAATTTCATTTCTGTTTACATTTTATCTTCTCGTAAAAATCTTAATAAACATTACTAAAATGATTTATGCCACTGTGTTTCAGTGCGTGACATAGTTTTCCAATTTTTTTGTTTTTTGTTTTGTTGTTGTTGTTGTTGTTGTTGTTGTTGTTGTTGAAATCAAATAATCTAGACCCCTGTGTTTATGCGCTTGCATAACACCTGCTTGTGCTGTGTACTTTAATTTTTATGACCTCCCATATTACATGTGTTCGTTTTTGTAATCCATAATATTTGAATCTGCAGGAGTACCACCTACATTGGTACAGGTATAGCTGTTCTTCCCTGATACTGATATTATCTACAGAAACACCGTCTGCCAGTCCAAGAATATCTGCTTCTGCCTTGGTATTAAAATCTAGAGAAACACCGTCTGCGGGTCCAAGAATATCTGCTTCTGCCTTGGTATTAAAATCTACAGAAACACCGTCTGCTAGTCCAAGAATATCTGCTTCTGCCTTGGTATTAAAATCTACAGAAACACCGTCTGCCAGTCCAAGAATATCTGCTTCTGCCTTGGTATTAAAATCTACAGAAACACCGTCTGCCAGTCCAAGAATATTTGCTTCTCACATTTGCATCCACAGAACCACTGTGATATTTAGAGTCGGCTATTGTTACCCTTAAAGCGTATTAGGACCTCAGGGTTTCTTCTAAAAAAAAAGTATTGTCTGCTACGTAAGTTCTCAGACATCAAGAAAATGCGAATAACAGAATTTTTCATGGTTGTAATTCTCAGCTCAGCAATATATATTCTGATAGGCACTCGCAATGAGCTTAACATAATGAGAGATGATTTTCAGTCACTGTTGAAAACACAAGGCCAACAAGGATATCGTTTAAACGGTGTGGGAAAAGAAATCTCGAGAATTATGGAACATTTGAACCTGAAAGAAAACATCGTTACAAAAATGAGTGTTGAAATAAACAGCAAAAAGAAATAGGCACGTGGTCTTCGATAGCGAGGACAATCGCTAGTTTTTTTTTATTTTTTTCGCAATGAGGAGTGAGTAATGTATTAAAATTCAAAGTACAGAACATACATGACATCAACTGTTGCGATCACTGACATTGCTTATATGAACGCCCTCCAGACGAGCTTCATTTGTGTCAGACAGGGATGTGTGTGGTGCACTGTTTAGTTGTAGTTTTGACACATGTCCGAACCATTTGATCTGTTATTTCTTTATGTAGTTTAGCGCTGGTTCCAGTGCGACTTGTTTCCTGCACGTCCGGCTGCATATAAATCTGGAGCTGGCCATGGTTTCCTGCTATCTTCATTTCTGATCCCGCCTTTTCTTGTTACGTTTCGGATTCGTCGTAGATATTTCATTTCTGTGATTTCATTACCTTGCCGATCAAACTGTCTATTGTTACCGTGTGTTCTGCTAGATATCTTAAGACTTTGTGTCCTTTCAGAATCACCATCCTCGGTGTTCTAATCATTACTACTGAAATTCCTTCATTCAACTGTCTTAGATCATCCAGCGTCATTTCTCTCTCTCTCTCTCTCTCTCTCTCTCTCTCTCTCTCTCTCTCTCTCTTTATCTCTCTCTTTTTCTCTATCTCTCTCTCTTTCTCTCTCTCTTTCTCTCTCTCTTTCTCTCTTTCTTTCTCTCTCTCTCTCTCTCTCTCTCTCTCTCTCTCTCTCTCTCTCTCTCTCTCTCTCTCTCTCTCTCTTCTCCTCCTCTTCTGCCAC